GGAAACTGATTGGTGCAAATGCCCTAACACCTTGCCCAGCTTCCAACCAGGTCCTGTCCTTCTTGTACTCGAGATCTCCCAAAGCTCGTGACAAGTTCAGGTTGCCATTGACCCGATATTGGTTCGGCCTCAATGGTGAATCGGTGTTGGTGTCGTGAGGTTCCAGAATGGATTGACAAATCTGCAGTTGACACTGATGATCTGAATGCTTAGTCTACATGTATCAGGTTTACAATTCTCCTTGACGAGATTTGCTATCTGTATACGTGCGAAAGGAATATCGAGCAATCCGCAAGTTTTTGGCGCCACCAATCCACAACTGATTAGGTCTCTGAGGTGAAAAAGCACACCCATAGATCACTGCAAATGGTTGAAATCGGATCCTCCGCACTGCCAGATGGGCTGTTTACAGAGTCTCTCGATCACTGCGGGGTTTGGGTGCAAAGAATGGATTTATTTGGAATAAGCGTCATAAGCGACATCAAGGAAAGGAAGTGTTGCGACATCAAGGTGACACAAGTGACAAGTGCCAAATGAGTATCTGAGGGCAACTCAAGGAAAAGCAACAAAGCGTTGCATATGAGAAGCCTCTGCAGCCCTTGCATGTGGTTCTTCAACAAAGAACTCCAAACTTTCTCCACTGATTTCACAGACTGACCACGACACGCCCCAAATGTCCCGTTGATCTCAAGAGCGGGCAGGATCGTGATCTCAAAATGCCATTCTGAGATTCCTCACGTTGAGTTCTTTGGACGGCTAATACATCTGCTTCATGATCTTCAAGTGTTTTCGCTAGCGGCGGCTGCTGCTTTTGCAGGACCCAACGCCGCTGATCGACCTTCAACTCCAACTTCTCTGGACATGACTCGATGTCGGTAAGAAACTCCAAGAAGAGCTCCGCAAAATCACGCCCCTCTCTTGTTCGGCCATATGCTTTCTCATTGTGATGCCAATCGGAACTATCGTGAGTGGTCATTGTCTGAGGTCAAAACATGTCTTTGAGCCAAACCGCCAATCATTCGCTTTGCGCACCTATGCTTATTCACAGCTGAAGAAGCCAACTATGTAAAAGTATATAGTTCATACAGTTTCAGCAAACGACTCTGTCTGAAAGGTTGGTGCCCCAAACCCACTGTTCTCGACCCAACCACCAGCGGCTTCAATGCGCTGCTTTTCCCGTGGTGCATTGGGCTTGTGGTCCTGATAATGAATGCTGGGATGGCCTGGAGCTCTCACACCACATGTGTTTACTGTACTGATGTCTTTGTAGAACTGTACTGTAAGGTATCCTGTCAATCTGCGATCCCTGGTGTACAGCTGCACAGAAGTATGGAAAAGTTTAGCTTTAAAAAGGCGACATCTCCTACAAACATCCCAGTGCGTACACGCAGCCAACAACAATACATTGACCCTGCACCGTTGCAATCTTCACATGTTTTCTTCCTCCCTCGTCTCCTCGCTGAGAGGGATAGCTTTGCCGGCGCTGCACAATACAGCCCGACTGGCATTCGAGCCGAATCACCAAAACTCAAAGGAGACTGCGACCGTTTCGGCAGCATTCGAGCCGAATTCAATCAGGTCACACCGATTCGGCTTTATTTAGCGAACTCAGCAATTCGGCTCGCACACGCTCAGCCGGTGGCGCCTGTCGCCGGCATTGGCCGTGATGATCTGGGCGTCGGTGATGCAGCAAACGCATGCGGTGCATCCCACCATGGTTGCATCCCCGCTCGGGGAGGCCATCGTCTCAGCTCGGAGATGCTCGCTGACTTCGAAAGGTTGTCAAGTCCTCCAACCTAGTAGCTTCTTGTTACTAGTAGCCATGGCCTCCAACCTACTTACTATGGCCTCCTAATAGCGTCCTTGCTACTAGTAGCTTCTTGTTACTTGTAGCGATCAAAGACATACTAAAAAGCTCTTTGTTACTACTAGTGAAGCGATCTCAGTGAAATGATTCCCAAGGAAGCTTCTAGTGACTAGAAAGCTTCTAGTTACTAAGAAGCTTCAAAAACAGTACATGGAAAGCGTTCTTTAAGGACCTAAACCTTGCGAACACAGTTCGCATCTCTTGCGTGCGAGGCTCTGGTTCTTTGGGAGGGTTGGACAATGCGCAGACTTCTGCAGCAAAATGACCTGTGCAGACATGCATTTGCGGTAGACTCCGCTCAGGGTTAAGCATCAGAAGGCTCACCAAAGATTGGGCTGTTCAGCTGCATCAAAGCAGCCGCTTCTTAGGAGCTCGTCAATCTTGTGAAAGGCACCTGCACGACACAGATCAAGCACCTATATATATATATATAAATGGATGTGTTATTGAAATATGGTCTCCCCGTCTTGATGTACACAAAATCTGTAATTTGTTTGAATCAAAGAAAGACTCCAGGCTGCGTGCAGATGCACCTTTCAGCGCTTCCTCCATCTGTCCATTCTTCGCTTGGAGGTCTCCAGACAAGGGAAACTTCCGTAGCTCCTGCCATGAAAGTAACGCCGAATGGGACCAGTTTGAGATAAAGATTTGCGAAACAACATGAAACATGGCCCATGCCCCGAATATAAGCAAACACCGAATCAAATCACCCGTGTTTGGCCCTTCATCTGTCTTGTGAATCTTGTGCCTAGAATATGTTTGCCAGTCTTCTGATGATCCCTTGAAACACTGTGTGTGTGTATCGTCATCCTTACCTTAGGTTGGCTGGACCAACATGAAGGAATCTGCAAGCAAGTGAGAGCATCAGATGTCCCTGTTCAGGCTTCACGTCGCCCCCATGTAGCCAGCCTCTGATTAGGAAATTTGATTGATAGGCAAAGGCTCATGTGCATACTCCATCCACCATATACACATATATAGAATTTGCTTCCTACAAAGATTGATTTGCAGGGTGCATCCTTCGGGCAGAAGCTTTGTGATATGTTTCTGGAAAAAAATTTCTCGTGATGGTCTTCAGCAGGATTGATTGATGGGGCCCTTGTACCCCATAGTTCACCTTCAAAATCCAATTCCATAGCTTTCTTACTGGGTGCAAGTCTTCACGCGTCAACAATTACGATGCTCGCGCCCAGGGTTGTGACAGTTGCCACAGTTGCAACGCAATATCTGCAGTGCAAATGAAGAGCTATGCTGGCTATGCTACTTGTAGTGGGAGGAGACACCAAACCTTTCTTGGACGCACCCTGTGTTGCACAGCTGCTTCCCTGTACAAGCGCTTGACCCAAAAGCTTGCAAAAGAGTACGACCTGAAAATGTGGGTAGCGAACCAGGTCCGTGCCTGGGGCAGATGGTCGCTGCTAAATCTGGCGACCTAGCAAAAGGTCCAGCAGCAAAGAGAGTGACACAGGGACGGTTTTTGCAGCATGCAATGCAGACATGCAAAAATGGGATCTTTGAACCATTGCTGCAGTGTGTGCACAGTCGCAGGGGTAAAGACGAATGCACCTGCGCCCCACCATGGCCATCCAGCACTCCAAAGAGCGCAGTCTTTGTCCAGGGTGCAGCAGCACTGGGCCGACGTGCAAGAGTGACAGGCCTCGGTGGCACGTCGGATGTCCGCCCCCACGTGCCCTCGGTTTTGCGCAGGGTGTCTGTGTTGGAACGTGTTGGATGTATCACCCAAACCGTTGGTGTGGTAGAAGCAGAGTCGTGTCCCATCCCCGCACGTAAAGCCCTACATCAGCAGAAGGGGTACAGAGCTTAAGGAACACAAGCAATTGGCACCAACTAAACAAGTCCTGAGAGTGCGTGTCAAACAAGTATCATGGAAATGTGGAAGCTGGGAAGGAATGGAGAAGCTCCACAATGCACCCCGCATGTTGGAATAGCAAATGTGTGAAGTCATCTGGGAAACGCATGTTTCTGACAAAATGCTGGACATTGTGCCCACATTCTGTGAACAAGTCTCCGCTTTCTCTATGTTGTTCTATCGCTTCCCTTTGGCATCCCCACAGGGCAATGTGTGCATCTTCCATGCCCATGCGCCAGCCCTGCATTGCTGAGGCGACCCATGTGAGTCCTTGGTTTGGACTCCAAGGATTCCACGATACACATTCTGACATCCAGGCTGCACACTTCATGCACCCAACATTGCATGTGCAAAAAATCACAAGTCAAAAAACAAATAAACAAGGCTTCTGCTCAGTCCAGGTGCGCAAAGGGCCACATTCCACCCCACTTTCAGAGCACTTCTTTGTGTTGGCCTTGTCCTGAGCAAAGTGGGTTGACTGCGAGCAAGACAGTTATAAAGGACGACTCACTCTACCCCCAGGTGCGTTCAATTTGCAGCTGGGCGGTGATACCTGTTATATATAAACCTAGTCCACTTTGTCCATGTTCCATGGAGTTCCCTGTGCCCTGCTTCGAAGTCCTATCAGCACCCTTGGCCGCCGGGCAAGTACCCCGCCCATCAGGGCTCGGCCAAAGCCAAGGCAGTCGGCGCAAATTTCTGCAAAGTGAAATAATATGTTTTCTTGTGGGAAGTGAAACTCATAGAATTGAAGTTTGAACCATTTTCAACATGAGTCTGAATTACAAAACCTTGCACTTCGCCGTTGCCGACGGAGGCAATTGTTCGACCAAGATCTTTCCAAGCTTGATACTCCACCAAATGGCGGCTCAGTCCAAGTCCTACAGTGTAAGGGCATCTCACTGATCTTGAAGATTGAGAGCTTCAAGGGGCATGGATACTTTCCGGTCTGTCTAAAGCTGCTATGATCCTTGATCTTGACAAGCTGCTGCATCATGGAAACCCCTTAAAGCTGCAAAAAGCAAAGCTCTGGCGCCCTGCCAAACACAGTTGCTTATGGAATCCCACACTCTTGCTTTGGTCGTTTTTTGGTGTGAATCATGATCCTCTGCCCACTCAAGACAGGAAAGTCAAACCACCCAAGCTGGATAGCTACACGCCCAGCTACCAGGTATGGGGCTACGCACGGGGCAAGCGGCTCTTAACGGCTCCAAGTACTCACGTGCAACTTGAATTGAGTTGCGCCAAAAATTGTCAGGCCTTTTCGATCTTTTCTGTCTTCGGTGTCAGCTTGAAGTTCACATGGCTCCAAACCGTAATCACATGTCTTAAGCATAAATCGAATCTTCGCAGATTCATCTTAATTCGTGAAACCGCCTCGCCCTGCGAGCTGCTGTCCAGTTGTTCTTCGTCAGCACTCGCCTACCATGCTCTCTGCTTTTTGTTTGCTGAAACTGTTGGCTTTTGCATGGACAGCATGTTGCCAACATAAATCAGACCCTCCTCCTTCGAATAGGTCGAGTTGGACCCTGCAAGAACAAACGTCCACCAAAAGCAAGGCTGTGCTCTTTCCTAGAAGGCAAAGCTTGGTGGCAGGTTTGAAGCTGCAAGTGTGCAAAGCCTGATCCTCCTCCGTTTGCTTCTCCAGCCTTCGACTGTGCCCTCTCAAATGACACGGTAGGGCGATGTCATAGTCGGAGATGCCCGAACCTCAGACTCAAGGGCTGCACGTATGAAACTTGATTTCTGGTTTCACCCCACCACCCACCACCACCACCAGCACCACCACCACGTTCTTTGTAGCTGGCAGGAGGGCGGAGGGCGGACGTTATACTCTGCACAGTGCCCATTCCTGTCACGTCATTTGTCAGTCTCAAGAAGAAGAGGCTATGAGGCTCTGGATGAAGCCCTCTGTAAATCTAGTACTTACTTTCAAGTCTGTGTTCACTGGATCGAAAGGCCACTATACGGATGGGACAACAATAAAAGTAAAATTGAGTAAGAAGTGCATCGCTACCAGTAACAAGGACATTGAAGATGTCCTTGTTACTAGTAGCGATGACTTTGCTGTTCACCCCCACGATTTGCGCGAGAGCCTTGGCCTTGGACCACTCGAACGCTTTGGCTCACGGGACCTTCACATGAAATGAACAAAGGCATATGCGTATGCAAAAGAATGAGATCATGATGTTGCATTGCAGTTGCAGTACATTACGTTGCATTGTGCTGCATTGCATGACATTACATAACATTGTCACATACATGTGTTTCTGTACGATTCTGTACGTATATGCACCTGTATATGCAAGCACCTTTTTTGGTGCCCCTGAGTAGGTAGACAAACGTATGTGTACAGTACACGTAGGACGCAAGTACAAGTCCCGAATCAAGTGGACAAGTCCACAGGCACAAAAGCAACAAGTTGGTGGTGCAAGTATTATATCCTGTATTCAAGTACAGCGGTGCACAAACCAACAAAGAAACAGGAAGTCAGGAGTCCAGAAGGATATTTGATATTATTTTGAATGTTGTTGATACACAAAATTGAAAGCAGTCTGTGGCAGCATCAAACCACGAAGAATGTGTCCTCCTTTGTGCTTCTGTTTGACCGGAATTCCCTTATGTTTTGAAACTTTTGACCTTGTCCGGTGGTAGTGTGTTGGTTGCGCTTGGAAGATGACGCAACATGCAGAAGCGTGTTGGAAGATCATGCCACATGCCCAAACGCTTTGGTAATGGGTGCGGTTGGGTGGGGTTGAATGCAGCATTTTTACGAATCACATGCTTCGAAACGGATGTTTTTTGTAGATTTTGAGTACTTCAAGGAAGATTAACAAACAAATTACACCAGCATAGACCGAGATAGCAAAAGATTTTTCTGGACTGCGCCCTGCATTGGCAGCAGCTCCAAAGCGCACACATGAACCTTTCTTACATTGGAAAAAACACCACAGTACAGTGTGGCGTGTCTCCACTACACGCACGGCCAGCACCAGCACACCCCGCGCATAGCCAGCTCACAGCACCCAGCACCAGCACCCACACCAGTGCCTTGACGTCCACAGCCAGCACCCGGCACCGGCACCGTGTCTCCACCACGCGCACTACCAGTTCACAGCACCCAGCACCAGCACCACAGCCAGCACCAGCACCCGGCACCGGCACCCTGTCTCAACAACGCGCACAGCCAGCTCATTGTTATTTGAAGTAAGGCGCTATCTGAGGAAAAACACAAAAACAAGCGCAGTTGTCCACCCAGCATGTTTTTGCCTACTGGGCAAAAACCGCGTGCCTACAGCGGAGTCTTCCAAAGTTCATCGTGAATCGTGATCATCATTCGTGCAGTTCTGCGTGCTGCAAGTCGACGAAGGACATAAAATGCATAAGTAGCAGTGGTTTGAACTAGTTCAAAATGATATTGTCACCATTCTGCGTGCATCATCTTCATGTCTTGTTCGCATTCGTCCAAATTCCACTCCTTTGATTTGGGGGTATATAATAATTGTTTCTGCGTATGCGATCGTTCAATAGATCAACATGATATTGTTTCATGTATCAAGTTGCCAACATACAGGTCCAGGTGTGGGGTGCTTCAGCGGCAATCAAGAGGCTCTTGCCTTGCTTGTTTGCTTCTTATCACTTTATCGGATCAGAGTCTCTCAGCATTGCCTTTGGTCATCCTCATTCGCATCTCCAAGCCATCTGTTCATTTCTTTGCGCATGGTCCTGTTCTGCGTTCCTTTCTCGGGGTCGATACTTTTCTACTTGGAGAACCTCGTCATTGTCGTGTGTGAGCCTTAGTCGCCTTTGAACTCCTTCGTTTGTACAATAGCCTCTTCAGTTCTGAACAACCAAGCAATTTGGTGGTCTTTTGGACGCTGGTTTTGGCCAATTTAGGTAGACGTTTCTTGGGAACCAAACCTGTTCAACAACAGTCTCATGTTCTGGGCTTTCGGTGCAATTCAAGATTTCTACTGTTCCTTTCTACTTATAACTGAAGTTCAATTCCATAAGTACAAGTACCAGTTCTTTGAACTTGATGTGCATCACATAGACTTTAGAACCAACTAGTTGGGAAGGAGGAGCACAACACTACTTCCGTCACAGATGTCAGCTTGAAAAGCAGCATCGCGCAAGCGCACGAAACTGTCGCAAAACCCAAATACACCCAACCTATAGTAAGTTAAAGAAACTTTGTAGCGAAACGAAACTACGGTTCTTCTGAAACACAATGGAACTGGGACGTTACGAGAGGATGTTTCAATGACTCAGACAGGCTTATGGCCTCCTCTGATAGGATGGGATGTTTTGGTACTTGGAGCATGTTGGGCCAGATGCGAGAATGCAAAGTATGTACACATCCTAATTGTACAAACTGTAGGTTCAACGTTCAAACAAATCTCCCAAACAAATGATTACCGTTCACAAGGTTTCAGGTTGCCTTACAGATTAAAAGGATTACAAATGGTCGTCGATTTTTTGAGGCTGGTTCTGCAACTGGACAATGCCACTTTGCAAATTGACTGGGAGCCCTTGTGAGCAATTGCATTTCGTCCAGTGATATGTCGCTGCTGTTGGACAGCTCGAACGATGCCGACGATGTTGAAATGTATGAAATGCAAAGCCAGTTATCTGCATTGTTTGCATCACCAAGGAGAGGTGTTCTCCTCCTTGGGACACAGCTTTCCGAGAAAAAAAATATACATAAATATATAAATAAATAAATGCAAACTGCGAGTTGGCGGGCGACATGACTTCGAGACACAGACTGGCCACACTGTAGACAGAAAGCACGAAAGGACACTGCCGCTTCAGTGTTTTGGGGTCCAATGCAAATGTGCTGAAGAGGCTTAACGGTGGCTCCAAAAGGCCACCTTACTGATCCTGACTGCTTGCCGAATTTGACATGATGCAAGCTACAACTGGAAGCAAATTCCGTCAGTTCTAAAGCTCTCGGTGGAGCCAAAAATTGTTTCCATAGCTTTAGGACGCTACTAGGGGCTCCTGAGGGCTCCTGGCATCGCTACTAGGAGCAAGGACGCTACTGGGGGGCTCCTGGCCTTAGGAACAAGAAGCTACTAGGAGCTTTTCGTCGTAACTGAGAGACCCACTCAAGCTGCGAGCGACTGGAGTGAGTGGTGATCCAGGCTGCGCCGGAGGCACGATTGGAAGAACTCCGATGAAGGGGTCCGGGGGGCTGGTCTGGGCACAAAACAAGACTGCAGAAAGGAAAGCCCTCGATCGATCAACACCCATCCACGTGCCATTGATGTGTCAAAAGATCTTGCAAAAAGAATCGGCATGTGTACTAGATGTTATAGAAGGTGTATGCTTCTTGGGGCTTGGACGGGACCAGGCTGGGTGGCTTTGACCACTAACAGTCGCGTCAAGCACCCTCCAAACCCCGGAGCTGGCACCATACGCACTGAACGCGCTGGTGGGTGAGCTGTCAAAGTGCGCAACCTTGGCTTGCTACACAAAGATGTGGGCAGCTTGGCGGTTTTTTACAAATGCCAACTCTATGCCTTTATGATCCTTTGCGTATTCTTGGTATTGACTTTGGGTCAAGCCAAAGTAAAGTATTCATTCCCGTGATCATTCGCGGCGACACCACAAGGGTGAGTGCTTGACCGTGAGTGTTTGACCCTTACATCCACTTGAGTCGCAAGAAAAGGAACGCCGAAAAGCACGTGTGGCGACAAAACTAACATGAAGCAGCTTGCACAGCTTCTGCTAGATGCTGCCCTGTCAAATGTTTGGTAACATTCTTTGGGGAGTCTATACCAATCAACATTTTAGCACTTAATCGTCGGTGGCACAATCAAAACGAGCAGGCAAACTTTTGCTGAACTGCCCTAATTGTCTTGTCTGACGGAGACCCCAGTGAGTGAATGTTATGAAATCATCCAGCTGGCCACTGCTGAGTTTATAGATGTGCATTTGAAAGGTGAATTCATCCAGCATGAATGGGATGACATATGACATGGATGTGGTATTGCTGTATGCGATTTGAACGTGGCAACACGCATTTCACAAGCAGCTTGGAACTCGGCTGAACAGGGCCTTGGAGCACGGGGCAGCATTACAAGGACTGATGACCATGTCCGGGACTCTTGTGTAGTTGAAACACTCCATTCATCACATTGAAGTAGTTTTTTCAAATGTCCAAAACAGTAAACTCAATGCATATAGTGCCCCAATGAAGATCTTGAAATCTCATAGATACAGTGCCTACATGTAAAATCAAAAGGAGGACTGTATTGTCCTGGCCGAGGACCGAGCTACCCATTGTTGTAGGCTGGCAAGTGTGGCTAAGAGTGACACAGGGGGCGTGTCAAAGACTGGAACAAGAAAATAGTCAATACAAAACAGCAGCAAAAATCGCAGAAATGACCCAATGAGTAAACTGCAAGCAAAAATAGATGCCAACTGTTAACACTGATGATCAAGTTCAGAAGCTGCTCTTCAACCAAAGCAACTCGGTGTCCACATTTAAAAACTTATATATATATATATATGTCACTGCGCTCACACAGGTACTCCTTTTTCGGGTTGCGCAAAGACC